AGTTGCCTGGGTCCTCCCTCCTCCCTTTTTTGAAAATGGGACTACATTGGCCTTCTTCCAGTCTTCTGGCACCTGGCCAGAGCACCACAAGTGCTCGTAAAGCTGTACTGGGGTCCTGCGATAACCCCTGCCAATTCCCTCAACACCCTAGACAAGGCTAGACAATCACCTTGCTGGGGTCATTTGACCCCAGTACTCTTTCCTGCCATGGCAGGGGTTGGACTTGATGATCTGCTCAGGTCCCTTCTGACCCTACCAACTATGAAATAATGAAACCCTGAGGTGGAGAGCATCTGGACCTGCTGATTTGAACATGTCCAGCTGCTCCAGAAGTTCCCTAATTTGGTCCTCCCTGACTAGGCCTGGTGGAGTCTCTCCTGAGTCCGTCCTGAATCCCAGTGGGGGGAGATGTCCTGGTCCCTGCACAAAAAAATGGAGGCAAAGAATTTGTTAAAAATGTCTGCCTTTTCCTCTGGTGCAACCACCATTCTTGGCATGCTCTCCCTTCCCTTCCATCCTTAGTAGCCTGATCCTTTCCTTGCCCACTGCTGCTTCTGTCCCCAGAGTCCCCAGATGTTCAGGGGTAAACTGGCTCCAGAGTTACTCTGGCCCTCTATAGCTGGGCTCAACAGGCAACAGCAGGGTTCCTCGTCCCTGCCCAGTCCCCCCAGGTGTTCCCTGCCAGCCCAGGAGCAAGCATAAGGTGTGGGAATCCACTTTGCCACAGCTGCACCTCCTGTCCCATGCTGAATCCATCTGCACCAGCTCTGGAGCCTCTTCCCACACAGCCTCCCAAACTACAACACTCCCAATTTATTTCACAGAGGGGAGGGGCTGCAGAACACTGCAGCTGGGTTCAGCCAGAGACAGTGCAGTTGTGGGCTGGGGTGAAGGTGAATGGAAGGGGAAAGGGATCTGCTTCTGAGGATGGAAGGGAAGGGAAGGGAAGGGTGCTGAGATCAAGGTTGGGGGTAACTGGATTCTTATACCATTTGGGGTCTTAAAAAAAAGTTGCCTCTGCAGCACTATCCAAAAGGAGGTGTGTGTCTATACCGCTACACTTCCTCTGGATCCACCCTTGCTTGGAACCATTTTCTAGCAGACAAGCTTGCCATCATTCCATTCCCTTCATGCTTTTAGAATTTAATTGCATTATAGTCAATGAACTAATTGCCAATCCTCAACAAGTGGTCAGTCCACACATACCAAACACCCTGGCCTGACCTGTAACTCCTGATTTGCCTTGACTTCAGTCTCCTGCTGCCTTTGCTGCCATCTGTGTCCATCTTCCTTGTGTCAAATTTGACAGCATTCTCAGTGTTACAAATACACAGCCCATATGTTTGACAAATAGCACCAAGTGAGTAGGGAGTTTTCTTAGTGTCCTCACTATCCATTGGAAATCTTGCTTTATGATTGCAGAGAATGATGAGGAGCAGGAAGCTCTGCTATCCTTGGACAAACCTGGCTGGTATTCCCAAGGTAATGCTACCCAACTTTATGAACTCTTGAAAAAGATGACCGGCAAGTTAGAACCCAAGGTATGTCATATAAGGAGAATGCAACTTGACTGTATTCTAGCTTCTAGAAATTATAGACACTGGTAAATCCTGTTCCACCCATCAAGCATCTGAGTATCTAAGCATGATCCTATTCTACCATGCTAGAGCACATCTTTACCATGCTAGAGCACATAACTATGAGCACATCTTATTGTGTAATGGACCTTCGTCCTAGTCTTGAGATTTAAGTCATAAGAAGTGATGAGGAGGACCTACTCACCTTTTGAATTAATGGTTTTTCATGGACTTGTGCAGCATGGAATAGGATTGCACTTAGGTGGTTAAGTGCCATTTAGATGCTTAACTGGTAAGATAGAACCTGGCTTTTATAAGGGATGTGAAAGGTTAAACAATTAATTGTTTACCTGACAAGTGCAGTGATAACTGGTTAGCTTACCAGTTATTCTTTAGGTCAGGGTAGATGCAGTCTGGCAGGGAAGGGGGGAAGGCATCTACTAAGTCGACTTAAAGTAAGGCAACTTAACTAAGCTGGCTTAACTAACATGGCTTAAATTAAGTTAAGCCATGTTGGAGTGTACATACATACTGCTTCTTGGCATAGTGGCAGCCATAGTGTGAGCTAAGTTGACTGAACTAATGAGACTCAAGATAATACACCTTAAAGGTGTATTATCTTGCACCGCATTTTAAGTGGACTCCACATACATGCACCGCATTTTAAGTGGACTCCACATACATATGTATGCTCTGACAGTAAAGTCGTCTTAAAAAAGTTAAGCCACCTTAACTGTCAGAAAGTTAGTAAATGTGTACACACCCTAAGGTGCAAATCTACCCTGCCTACCTCAAATTATTTTATAATGTCACAGGAAAACCAGAAGAAGTGTTTAAAGGCAACCCACATGGAGTGAGAGACCTGAAAAGTAAAGTGGCCTTGAAGAAAAGAAACTGACACTAATAATGTGTGTGTGTGTGCATGCATGCACGCATGCATGTGTGTATCCTGGCCAACTGAGCATGGAGGAATTTTTATTTGGTTAAGCTTTTTTCAGCACATTTTCTCTTGTTTGAAACAGTTTCTTGTGTTTTCTTCAAATGTACAGCACTTTTAATTTGCTGCTTCCCTTTCAGGTTGTTTATTTTGGTGACAGCATGCACTCAGATATTTTTCCAGCCCGTCACTATAGCAACTGGGAGACTGTCTTCATTTTAGAAGAGCTTAGAGGGGATGAAATTATAACGCCTGTGGAGACTGAGTCTGAGCCTTTGGAGAAGAAAGGAAAATATGAGGTAAGGGTTCCTTGCAGCTGCTTCCTGGAACCAAAAAAAAAAAAAAAAA